ATGGAATTGTAATGCATGCTGACCAATTATGAGCTCACTTTTCCAGCCCAGCAAATAAATAGCAGATAAATCCAGACCCACTATTTTTCATTGACTACGTCAGGGTGGTCTAACCATGTTCCTGGAAGGCCAGTCAAGGGTGGCTGGAATTGCACAGCCACAAGTATACTGTTGCTCTTTCTCTTGGATGAAAATGTGCAAACTACTGACCCACTCTGGTGACAGGAGGACTCTGTAAACAAGAGGTTGTGCTGCATTCCATACATTCAGGAGCCCGTGTGACTTTGCTCAAGAGTTGGAGGGTCCCGACCAAATCCCAAAACAGGTTTGCCAGGTTTAATACATATCTTGTTCAGCAACTATTGCCAGTCCCCTTTAAGGAATGCGTCAACTAAAACGTAAGATGGGTAGCGCTAATTCCCGATTCCTAAACTTCTAATGTGTATGGACAGACCGGTCCCAGCCCACTAGGTGAGCTCATTATAGACCTGTCTGTACAGGACTTTGCTCCCACTTCCCCTACACCGTTAACACACTAGAACACCTTTCCTTTCCTTTATCATCACACTCTCTTACTTTATTGTTGTGTCTCTTTCATTCTCACAGCCATCGCAGCGGGACGTACCCACCTCTGCTGAGGCTGGTCTCTGTCCTCGCAGTGGAGACACGCCAGACTTCATTCAGGAGCTGCAGAGTCAGTCACTCCAGCTCTTCTTCCAGAGCGGGGAGACCTTCTTGCCGGCTCTCTTGCTCCCCTAGAGTCTTCACTCCATACTTCCCGGACAGTCAGCCTGAGGCAAACGGAGGAGAGAGAACCATTAGGGAACTGTGATCATATTATGGTGTGCTTCGAAGTGTATTTAGAAACTGGTCAGCTTGATCCCAAAGCAAGTGTTTATCCCAAAAGGTTCAAAAAATCAGTTAGGACAGATATAATGGAAAGAGAATACTTCATAGAATTAACAGGATACATTCAAAAATACAAAAGAGAGATTAGAAAGGCTGAGAGAAATTGAAAGGAATTATCCATTGGAGGCTAAAATTAATTAGAATATTGTTTTCGGTACCATCAAGAATGAAGTACAACACAGTATATCCTGGACAAAAATGTTAAATGTCTAGACAATGAAAGGGAAATATCTGATCTACTAAATGAGTTTTTACTCAGGTATTCACTGAGGAAGAAGACAACATCATGCTGCAGTCTGCTGATACACAAAGTTTGTATTGAAGCCATTGGCACAGCTCCACTGACAGTCACTCAAGACAGGGGTAGTACCCAGGGACTAGAAAATTGTTTATATAGGACCATCTGTAAAAGGGTGAGAATGGGACCACATAACTGAAACACTTTTCTGGGTAGAGAATTGGTACAGGTAAAGGGTGAATACTCAGATTGTGAGGGTGTAATTAGTGGAGTACCACAGGAAGCTGTACTCGGATCACTGCTCAATGTCCTAAATTCTAGAATAGTTTGTGAACTAGTGAATTCTGCAGATTATAACAGATTAGGAGGATTAGTTGGAAATGATGTTCAAATTAGAATACATGACTAGGCGAATGAATGGCAGAACATGCTCAATGTACTGTAGACACGTGAAAGGTAATGTTACAGCAGGTCTGCTGCTGAATGCACACACACACTCTGTCCCTAGTCATCTCAGTCACACACCATGCACGCACACACACTGTGTTGTTTTTCCGTCTTTGCACCCCAGTAGCCCTGTGGCTGGCAGCTGCTTCCCTGGTGACCACAACCATCCCTACA